ACTCAAATTTTTGAAGGTTTTCGTCTCTAAATAACGCTTATACTGCGGATGTAGCCCTTCCACTATGATAGCTACTTGTCTCTTATCAGATACCGGAGGATCGAAGCGTCTCAGAATCGATTGAAAAGCTGCTACATAATCAGAGATATGCTCGCACTCTCCTTGCGATCTCTGCCTTAGCTCTCTATACAGCTGTTCGCGATTAAGCCGGCGACAAAAATTAGACGAAAAATTCTTTTTGAATTCTATAAGAGTTGCCCACTGCTTACGATTAAGTTCGTACCATGAACGCGCCTTTCCACGAAAAGTAGTGCCGATAGCATTTAGCATCTCTTTATCCGAAATCTTATAGTTGCGCTGACAGTCCTCTAATCCTGACAAATAACTCATCGCGCTCATGTCATCATTGCCAGAGAAACGAAGCGACCAAGCAGTCAACGCACTAACGCCATCGGCCGGCACGCCATTTATGTACTTAACCGTTTCGGGCTTTTCTTTTTCTTTTCAATTTTTACTGACTTGTCGCCGTTGTGCGAGACGCTTTTCTTGCGATCCTCTATTTCAGACTCGGAGGAGCTCGAGAGGTCAACAGTGCTGCCATGGTCCGGCAAAATTTTCGTTTTCGCCTTAACCGGCCTACTCTCCGACGCTCTCGTTGAAGCTCTAGACTCCGAGCCCGAGTCTCTTTTATATGATTTCGAAGCGCACGCGCGCTCACTACAAGGTGCGCGCATAGCCCTTTCCCATTGTCGAATCCATATCTCTGTTTCAGGTAACGGGGGCGATCTATAAATAGTCTCCAGAGAGCTATTCGGAAAGGGTACCTAATTCACCGGTATTTCTCTACGCTGGAGAACGCTTGAGCGAGCCTGATGGGCAGGACCGGCAAACGCTGGCACATTGAGCGCCGCTCGGCCAACCGACGGATCGGCTTGCAACGGCTGTTAAGCCTGTTGCGCAGCCTGATCCGTTCCACGCTGCATTGCTTCTCTTTCGACCCTATAGACCGCACTGGTACCGTCAGTGATACCCTGTTGCACTTCTCGTCGGTAAATCCATCGCGAGACCGCTGCTATCGCATCCCAAACCTGGCTAAGTGTACCATTGCTACGCCTTTCTAGTTAAGGCGCAGCCGGCGACAATACCTCTGGTATTACTATATCAGCGGCGCTGGTTGCTGGTAAAATTTCCTACTCAGAAATGGGAGTAATAACCCTATCGCCCAGCGGCCGAATTGGCTCTGGCAGGACGGCAACGCTTTCTGTTGATCGCGTCGCCTGTCCTGGTGATCACCACTCTGTCGCCCTTGGCGATGCGATCCTAACCGGTTCGATTGCCCTGTTCTCGCTTTCGTCACTGCTAATTGCCGTATGCGTCGGCTCATCGAACGATAAATCAGGCACGCGACCCGACGTAAAATGGCTAGGCTGTAAGGGTGACCCAAGCTCTGGCCTCTCTAACGCTATCATGAAACCCAAGTACTTTTCCTTAAGTTCATCCATCTCGCCGTGCAACGCTAACCTACGGTAAAGCATTAATTCAAGCAAAACGGCCGGCTCTATAGAATCGATGCGGCGCTTGACTTCCTTAACGCGGGCGACGCGAAGCAACCTACGCATCGTAAGCCGATTTTTTCATGCGAGCGGCATATTAAAATAAAAATTTGTCTTTTTAACGGCGCAGTTTCACAATGATAACGGACAGTCAAACAAGCGCATAGAACGCGATAACCAACACGCTAGGAATTTAACAACACAATACAAAAAAAAGGAAACGAGAAGAAACGAAACAAAAACTAAACTAACCGTGCCTTACCCGCGTCATATACTGGCAAGTTATCGCCTAGCATAAGACGACAAAGGAATACGTCACGCGGTTGTAAGCGAACACCTCCACTAGCCGAATTCCTCAACATGAACACGTCACGACGCGAACGACCCCGCCACGCCGCGAACCGGTTTCTGAAACTTATACTTACAAGGCGGCACGTTGTTTTCCAACACACGTCTTTTTGCCCTTGTTCACACACAAAAAAAAAGAAATCACTCGCATTCGCTAATTTACTCTATTTAAATAAACGTCCTCTCTTACTACCTCGCCTATCCCCACAAGGGATGCCATGTAATAGCGTCAGCCGTCCTTGGCCGATAATCCTTTCCCGCTATCACCCAATTCCTTAAGGGAGAGGTAAGGGAGGTGGTGTATCGCTCCCAGCAAGGCAGAAAAGGAAAGGCGATCGCAATAAACATTCAAACCTTTTACCAACCAAATACGTTTATTATAAAATCACTACCTTGAGCGATGGCGAATAAAACAATCTATCAAACCTTAACCTAATACACAATAACTTCTTACTACTAAATGAGATGACCGGCACGTTAGCGCCTTGCCATTTCACAACCGGCTAGATATAAAAGAAAGAAAACTTAATCACTAATTCAACTGTGCCGGCTCGCGAGAGCCTGGCACAGCGCACAAGTCGCGAATAGCCAAAAAGCGTTAAAACCGATTAAGGAAGAGAAACGAGAGGAGGGAGTATGACCTGTTAATTGGTGAAGTCCTCTGGGCTGGCGAGTTCATCGTCTCTCTGCCGGCCGGTGACATCCTTCGATATGGCGTGACTGGTGGACAAAGGGCCGCTCTCCAGGATACTTTTCTGGTGCGTTAGCTGGTATGCTCTCGCTTGCAGGGTCAATTCCTTAATGCCCGCGAGAAGCGACGCAATAGCGCGTGAGAGACTGTTTCTCAGGCCCTCCCCACTCACTTGCCTAATCGGCGACACGCGGCACCGCCAAGCGTGGCCAGTGTCGCGCGCCTAGCCGCACTATAGTTGCACTATAGCAACACTCTTTCTCTCTCTCTCTCTCTCTTTTTCGATGACTAACGAGAGCGCATGTTGTTACGCACTCCTGGCCACTAATACTGTTATTGCTCTCTCTTTCTTTCTTGACGAAGAGAGAAACCTATGCTGAAACAAAAGACTGGCATCAGGCACGAAACATACGTGAGCCAGATTCCCGCCATGAGCCCTTGCCGATATCGGAGAGAGTGAAGGGACGCACGGTTCTCCCCAGGATAACAAGGCCTTACTTCAACTTCAAGTCTCTCTCTCTCTCACCCTTTCGGCATAGACTCACAACTTTGCCTGACGCAACAATAGATGACTTATTCAATAACTTAATATGCTTATGACTAGCTTAATTCTAAGTTAATATAAGAACAAAACCAAAGGTTAGCTTAATAATGACGACTAAATTTTACAAGGGTTAAATACAAAAGCAAACACGTGGTCTATGCACTGTAAAAGAAAATAAACTCAACCATCGGGTCTACAACGTGTCAGGACGCCCTGCGCGTGTATTTACCCTTAAAATCAGCTAGGTTACTAATGAGAATACCATACCTTAAGGCTCGACGGAAACCTCACATCTCCGACATTGTTAAAAGAGTTCACCTTGGCTTAAACTCCCTGAAGTTCTATAGAAGGTCACTCACCATTGAGATAAGGAAATACCTGATGCAAGCACTAATTTTTTCCCATTTTACATATGCCTCCATAGCCTTCATGAAAATTGACAAGTTCAGAACCCTGGCCCTTTGAACAGCTTCCAATGCTTGTGTGAGATTCATCATAGGCCTCATACCATTCATTCCTATACCAAGTATTGACTCCCATGTCACCTTCGATAGATAGCGTCTGGGCTGATTATCTCTTGAGAGTCAGCGCAACATCTCTATTATTTCTATTTTTGTGTATGCATCATAACTTCACTCTCATACTTTTTACATATTACGCTTAACCTAAGTTCACCTTAAATTAATATTATTTTTGTAATCTTACTGCCTATTACTACGCTCTAATTTATTGTATCTGCTTTGTACTGTGCTCAAAGTCTACGGGGTTATACCCCACGGCTCAATAAAGCTTATCTATCTATCTATCTATCTCTATTTTCTCTTTCCCTCTCTTCAGTGTACATGATCGAGGTGTCATCCAGAGTAAATGGGAAGGCGAGCAGCCTTGTTGTCGACCTACAATTATGGACTTGAAAAGTGCACGACCGGGATATACGCGATTCGTTGTAATGATCCAGAATTCACGTTGCCCGATTTGCGAGGCGCTTGTGTTACTGGCGTACCACTATTTTATAGACGCGCATCGAGTTTGTAATTTCGTTAAGTAATTATTTGTAGTTTTATCTAGTAATTGCATGTTGTTGATTCATCTATAGTTCACCTTATCCTCACTTTATCTGGAACCACATGCGATACCGAAACCCGTGGTATTCTTGACAACTAGGGCGTATGCGTGTACCTGGAGCCTGCGACTTCAAATAAGTAATTTTGTTTGCGCTTCGACGAGTCGATTCAAGTGAATCTCGTCAGAAACAAAGGTCAAAATGGTGCGGAACGTAGGTTATTCAGTTAACTAGCATATGAACAAGATATTTAACAACAGAAGTTAGATTTCAAAGAACAAATTAATAGTATGCATGCTTGTGTCGTAAAATAAGTAAAATAGGATTTCATCAAGGACTTTACGAAGGAAGCAATGAAGACTAAAGAAGAATAGGAGAAAGAAATAGGTAGAAGAGACTAAGATACTGATAGGCTAAGAAAAACCGTACCTTAAGAGTAATGCTACAGGATCAAAACAGTGAAATATATGACATTTCAGAAACGTCAACATACGAAAACAAATATTTTGCTCAAAAGAATCCTTTGTGTAAGAAATTTTCACAATAAAACTTTTAAAAATTATATATATTAATATTTTGGCGAAAAGCTCGGAAGAGTAAAACTTTTGATGGATCAGAAAAGGATCCACCGAAGTAATACTAAAATAGAGTGGCGGTAGGTGCTGATGTCGTGGGAATTTCGGGCTATGGTTTTACATTTACATTACATACACACACTCTCTCTCTCTCTCTCTCTTTCTCTCTCTCTCTCTCTCTCTCTCTCTCTCTCTCTCTTAAATATTTCTTTAAAATTGTACTTACCGGAAAAAAGGAACTATTTTACACGCAAGTTTTTCAGCAGATCGAAAACCTTGACTGAAAAGCATAACTTCAGCAATTAACTGACGATCTGGAGTAGTCATGGCTAATGATCTAAATAATTTTTTTAGATTGTCTGGAAGATTAGATCTGCCAGCATAACCTGGATTCATAGTAATAAAAATGGCTATATCACTTGATACCTTGACTTGCTTTCCAACTAGTTCTACACATAGCGCATCATCTCTACGGCCTTCTATATGACTTTTCAAAGCTTCCTGAATAGTTTGAATTTGCTGTGAAACTGCTGAAAGCATGCGTTCTTCTAATCTATTAAATTCATCGAAACAACCCCAAGCTCCAACTTGACATAATCCAACAAATATTCGCCCCATTGCCTGTAATAAATCACCATAATAAAAATTATATAAAGAATTTTAATAAATATAACAGAATTTCAATATCAACCACCGCATTTGTCTATATGCACTAATAATTCCGGAAGCTTACCGCAATCCACATTATACCGAAATAACTTGAAATAGTACAAATTTATATACTGATAATAAAAAGCATAGTAATCAGTTTTTTGTTAAATAATTTTTAGTTTCAATTTTCGATTTTTTATATTTCAATACCAAAGACATTTTTAAAATTAAGGTCAGATTGTCCGATTAATAACATTTATTTTAAATTTTAGATTTCGGATTTTCAATATCACTTCAATTTCAATAGTACAAGTATATCATGTATTTTGATAAGCTCCAATTCAAAGTAAGTTAAACCTCTTTATTCATTTTTCATTTTTTTAATAAGAACAAATGCACAGCATGTCTAGAACAGAAATTATTTTTAATTCCAATCTATTCGAAACTTCAGCATTATACTGATATTATGCTATGCCTAATACATAACATATACATACGAGGGTGGTCCGATAAGTACTTAGCCTCACCGCCCGATGGCGCCATTCTCGCAAAAAAAATATTCTATCACGTAGTACAACCTTCTCGATGGTTACTGTCAAGATTTCAACCGGATCGGAGTTGTAGTTTATTTTTGAGAGCATGTAAAAGCAAGTGTGTCCGTTGATTTTTGAAAAATGGAAAAAGAGCAGTATCGGTCGGTGATTCTATTCTTGTTTTTGGAAGGGAAATCGCGCAGCGAAATCAAAAAGCGCCTGGATACTATGTACGGTGACTCTTCTCCTTCGATGGCGACCGTCAAAAATTAGTTTAACAAGTGTGACGGTGTAGGCTGGTCATAGCCTACACCGTGTATGCCTACGTCATCTCTCCCAGGCGAAGGCACACGGCTGGCATCAAACGCACGTTAAATTTCACGTGCCTGATGCCTCTTTCTTTATTCCAGCAACACCCGAGAGCAGAAGGCGAGGCCAGAGGCAACAACGCTCGAGTATTGAGAGTGTGAGAGAGAGAGAGAGAGAAAGAGAGAAGTAGTATGCAGTTCGGTGGTTGGGCTTGGCGCGCGGCACTAGTCGTGACCGGCGTTGCCGCGTGCCGCCGATTAGTAAATGAGTGGTGGGAGAAGGCGTGAGAAGCCGGCTCTCACGCACTCGCGACAGTGATGCGACGCACGCATTAGCAATCGGCCGCATTGACAAAAGAGAGTTTAGTGACCGTAGTCGCACAGCCGTCTCTCCTCGTGCAGCTAAGCGGCCAGCAGCCAGGCAAGAGTTGGGCCGGTTTTGTTGTCGGCATATAGCTGCAACTCCCTCGACGAACCACCAGCAACGCAGCCAACGAGGATTTCTGCGAAGCCATCTGTAGAATCGCCAGCAACAGCAATACTCATCAGCAACGGTCAGGTTATTGTTCTCTCTCTCTAGTTCTCTCTTTTCCTCGGCGATTGGTCTTGGTTCGTGCTGCTGCGCCAGGCTCCCCCTTGAGCCGGCGCACTCTTTAGTTCGATATAATTGTTGTTCGAGCCGGTTAACGAGGTGATATGGCGCTAACGTGCCGGTCATCTCGTTTAACATAAGTGCGCGTGTTAGTAGTGATAAGTGATTTGTACTTGTACTCTCGTCGGCACTCAAGGAAGTGTTTTGTAATAAACGGGTTTGTTAATGAGATTGAGTGTGTGTGTGTGAAGTTATTTGCCTGTTGTTCTCCTTCCTGCTTTGTCTGGAGCGACACACCGCCTCCCTTACCTTCCCCCTTATAAATAATTGGTAATAGTGGTGGGTTTATCGGCACTGCACGCCGACGCTATTACACGAGTTTCAACGTGGTCGCACGTCGATTTTTGAAGAGCCACGTCAAGGTGCTCCGAAAACGGCTACCACGGAGGATAACGTGAGAAAAATTCACGATCTCGTATTGGTAGATCGACGATTGAAGGTGCGCGAGATAGCTAAGATCGCAGGCATCTCAGAAGACCGCGTGGGTCATGTCCTGCATGAAATATTGGGCATGAGAAAGCTGTCGGCGCGATGGATGCCGGACAACAAGCGCAAACGGCGAAAGTGCTCCGAAGAAGGCGAAGACTGCCCCATCGGCCGTAAAGGTGATGGCCACCGATTTCTGGGATTCACAAGGTGTGATCTACATCGACTACCTGGAGAGGGGCAAAACGGTCACAGGTCTGTACTATGCCGAATTATTGGGCCGATTCGACGTTGAATTGCAGAAAAAACGGCCCCATTTGGCGAAGAAAAAAGTGCTCTTCTGGCCACTCGCCGGACAGAAATTTGAGTCGAATGAGGAGGTAATCGCTGCCATGGAAGCCTACTTTTCAGACCTCGAGGAAACGTATTTTTCAGACAGGTTAAAGAAGTTGGAGCATCGCTGGGCCAAGTGTATCGAACTAAAAGGAGACTATGTTGAAAAATAAAACGCCACTTTTCCAAAATTTTCGTTTTTCTTTTGTAGGCTAAGTACTTATCGGACCACCCTCGTATTACACTGACTTTCAAAATCGAAGAAACGTTCTTTAAGAAAAAATACCTCCTTGTGGCTCTTTTAGACGGTTAAGGGACATTCGATAGTATAAATATAGACATTTTGTTAAAAACACTAACTGAAATAGGTTGCTCAAATAAAGTTATAACAAAGCAGATTCACTTTTACCCAGCTGCTGCAAAACAACTACCATCTAACCTTCAATAAGTACCGTGAGGAAGGTATTTTAATCCCTTTCTTGTTCTTGACGGGTTAAAGAAGTTGGAGCATCGATACTACTACAACGGATATTTTCGAAGTGGAGGCCACCATCGAAAATGTAAATAGATCATCCGTTTATATTTCTAATTCTATATCTGTTCAACAAACAATTTTGTCTTCTAGCTTGCTGAACGACTCGCTGTCGCTGGATCAAGGTTCAAGCTTCTTAGCTTCTCTGCCGATGGATGAGATACAAGTTTTACGTCAAGAATCTGTACAATGTGGTGTGCTGTCGATTGATGGACCACAGTCTTTTCTTCGCCAACTTGATGCAGCAAAGGCAAAATCGAAAAAGTTACGTCTAGATATTGCGACTTTACATCATCTTCGAAAGGAAGATGCACAAGTCGACCGGGAAGAACGTGAGCGATTAGCTCAACGACAAGCCGTATTAGAGAAAGCTAACAAAGACGAGCATCGCTTACGAACCGACATCGAATCGCAGGTTCGCAGAGAACTAGCAGAGATGCAGTTACGATTGACGCAGTTAAGTAACTGCACCACATCTGTCATTCCACCGTCGGTTTCTTATAATGTTGTACCATTCCATCTACCCGCGGTAGATGGAATGGTACAACATACATCCGAGGTAGATGGAATCCATACGATTCCATCTACCTCTATTTTTCAACCGTCCCCACAAACACATAACCCTACTCTTACACATGCATCCGTTTCAGTCCCTCAACATTCGCTATATACTCCTGTATCAGTTACAAATGTAAACACATCTAACCTTTCTAACATTCAACCACTTCCAATTGCAAATACCCATATCAGTTTAAGATATAACCTACGAGCGGGGTCGATATGTCTTTACAAAATCCAAGAGATGGCGCTCGTCACGCTTAAATTATGATGTTTTTGGCAAGTAATACTACTAACTAGATATCGTACAAAGTTTTAGCTCGATTCATTAAGTCGTTTTTTTGTGAGCGTTGTTTGAACAAAAAGTTATTGGTTTATTTGAAAAATGGAAAAAAACAGAGATTCGAGCGGTGATAAAACATTTTCCTTTGAAAGGTCTTACACCAAAAGAAATCACAGTTGAGTTAAACGCCGTTCATGGCAAGTCTGCCCCTGTGTTTAAGACTGTTTATAACTGGGTAAATCAATTTAAACGAGGCCGTACAACAACAAAACATGAACCTCGTTCAGGACGCCCCGTAGAAAAGAGTATGCCCGAAATGGTCTACTAAATCCACGATATGTAATTGAGCGATAGAAGATTAAAATTGCGAGAATTAGTTGAGGCCACAGGGGTATCAAAGGGTACAATCATTTCAATTTTGCATGAAAAATTGGGGATGAAAAAAATATCAGCAAGATGAATGCCGCGTTTGCTCACTGTTGAAAATAAACAAACCCGCGTGGTCACCTCTGAGGATCTTTTGGCACGCATACGTCGTAATCCAGAAGACTTTTGGCATGGACTCGTAACTGAAGACGAAACATGGGTATACCACTACACTCCTCAAACCAAAGAACAGTCCAAACAATGGATTACCGCGGGAGAACCAGCCCCAAAGAAGGCAGAGACAGTAAAGTCAGCTGGTTGGCAAGATTATGGCCACGGTTTTCTGGGATGTGTATAGAATCATCTACATCGACTATTTGCAAAAGGGCCAGACGATCACTGGATAATATTATGCGTCATTATTAGGTCAGCTAAAAGAAAAAATCAGAGAAAAACGTCCTCACATGAACAAAAAAATGCCTCTTTCTTCAAGACAATGCTCGAGATCTCACGTGTGCAGTTTCGATGGCAAAAATTAACGATTTAAAGTTCGAATTAATTAATTATCCACCATATTCGCCTGATTTGGCTCCCAGTGACTTTTTCTTATTTCCTAACCTCAAAAAATGGCTTGCCGGACAACGATTCACGTCGCCGAAACAAATGCCTATTTTGAGGATTTTCAGAAATCATATTTTTCTGATGGCTTAAAAAAACTGGAAGGCTATTTAATAAAATGTATCGACCTTCAAGGAGATTATGTTGAAAAATAAAAAAAAATTACATACGCAAAACTTTTTTTTCCTTCTTTTTGGAAAGACTCATTGACCTGCCCTCGCATAATACGATTTTGTGAAGGTTTTAAAAAGTTGAATGTTGTTACAATTAAAGATTCTTTTCCTTTGCCAAATATTTCGGAAATTATCGATGACCTATTCTTGGTTTTTGACATTAGATTTAAAGTTAGGATATTGTCAAA